CTCTAGACCTACTCCCTCCACCAAAATCCATAATATACATTTTTAAAAACACAAGCAACAAAAAAAAATAAAAAAAATTGATAAATAAATAAAAGCAAAACAAAACTGTTTCAAATCTGGCAAGCACCTAGCGCCACCTAGCGCCCGGGGAAAAAACTACCAGTGACCCCTAGCGGCGACCCACAGACTAGTCTGGAGCAAAGGGAGGGCAATCTTTGCCAAATCTCAGCGAGACAGCCCGTTCAGAACTACGCAAGTCGTCTGCAAGTTTTTGCCGGGAAAAATATCAATAATAACAAGTACAGCTGTTTCCTGAAAATACGGAGACGTGTGTGTGTGTGTGTGTGTGTGTGTGTGTGTGTGTGTGTGTGTGTGTGTGTGTGTGAAAGTGTGAAAGTGTGAAAGTGTGAAAGTGTGAAAGTGTGTGGTGTGTTTATCTCTTCAATTATTTTACAGCAGGCAGTCTGTGTTGAATCCTGGTTGGTACATTTTAAAATTCTTACCTTGCTGATGTTTTATTTCGAACTTATTAACCAGTTTGGGTTGCACTTCACTTTCTGATACTCTCTTCACCTTTGATATGGGGGAAGAAATACACATTGTCCAAAATGACTCCCGGTGCCAAGTTGAGTTAAAGATTTCGCATATTTAAGGGCAAGTAGCGATTTATTTCTATAAGATTTTGGAGCAAAAGTTATTGTTCGTAGCTGTCAGGTTTCGATCCAGGGATCTTTTAAATGAGAAGCGAACACCGCACCTCTAGATCAGGAGAGCCCCTACCCCGTCCCTGAAAGATGCCTAACAACACACCCTCGGCCAACCATCACAGAAGTGCTACCAGACCTCCCTTAACTATGAAACAAATTATCGGCAGTGGTCAATTTTAGGACAACGTGCGGGGAAGGGTGGGGGAGGGGGGGTGTTATCAACAATGGCGGGCTGAGAGATATCTTCCTAACGGTCTATCGACCAGAGGACAGAGGGTCGGGGTACAAGTTACCAAGTTGTCGCCGGTCAATGGGGCACATTGTCCAGGCACAATTAGCATTTACATAATTATTTCCTGATTTTTTACGGCTGTTTCAAACAGTCTTCCTCTGTTATTGTGGAAGAAGAAGAAGAAGAAGAAGAAGAAGAAGAAGAAGAAGAAGAAGAAGAAGAAGGAGAAGAAGAAGAAGAAGGAGGAGGAGGAGGAGGAGGAGGAGCGGAGAGAAAGGGAGGAAAGGGAGGGGATTAGAATGAGGAGCAAAAAAGAGGGGCTGGGAGGTTACAAGAAAATGAAGAAAAGGATATTATTATTTTCATCATAACTGATATTGCAATCTTTATTTCCATTCCTACTGCTGCTGCATATGTTACTGGTGCTCCTACTGCCGCTAAAGACGATGATAATGGTCATGATAATAATGATGTTGTTGACGATAAAGATATATGACGCTGACGACAATGAACGAAAGCTAAATACCCTCTGTCTGCCCTGAGCCGCGATGGTGACGGAGAAGCTGTAGGTCCCGTTGTAAGGAGCGGTGAACCGACTTGTCTCCACGCTGAAGGCCGCGCCCACATTTGTGACAATCTTGTCGAAGAGGAGGTCCGTGTTGGAGCTGACAGGTCCCGTGTTCGAACCTAGACCCACGAAGAACGCCACGTGCCCAGCGTCGTCAGAGTTGAGCACTGATAGAAAGAGAGACAAAGACCGATGTTTAGGTTGTTGTGTTTGAGTAACTGTTTTATGACACTTGCAACAAAAATAGATTATGCATGCATGTAATAGGATGTGAGACATGGAATGCATCACAGACTTACATAAAGAGGATCCAGGTTTTCTTGAACAGGTGTCTAAGAAAGTTACTGATAATCAGATGGACAGACAGGGTCACCAATGTGGAAGTGTTAAGGAAAACAAGACAGATCCCAGTCAGAGGTGAGGTAGGAAGAAGGCGGTGGCGATGGATTGGACATACTCTCAGGAAGTCAGGCAGCTGCATAACAAAGAATGTTTTGGATTGGAACCCACAGGGTAAGAGATCAAGGGGAAGACCGCGTGGAACCTGAAGAAGAATCAAAGAAATCGATGTACAGAAAAATGGGAAGACATGGAATAACATCGAGAGACTAGCCCAGGATAGAGAAAGGTGGAAAGTGTTTGTCCGTGGCCTGTACCCTGGTGCAGGGCGAGAAAGGGAATGATGATGATGATGATGCAAATAATATTATGTGAGGCAGCGTGGTGGAATCAGGCTCTCGTCAATTTTTGGGCATGTAGAGTTATTGGTATCATCTTAAAGCTCGCTCATGTGTCTTTATTTGGATGAAAAAAATATCCATTTTTCTTGAATACAAGTCGAGATATTTGCGAAAGAAGTAGGTGGGTTCACCTGTTTTCAGAAGTAAAATTAGTGAGAAAATGGCCGCCAAAGATTAGTTATTTCCTTTGCTTAAGAGTCCATGGTAACCCAAAATTAACATTTTTTGGTGCCTTTAATCAACGTTTTTCTGAAAAATCCACACAGAAATGAATTCTTTAATGGGTATGAAAGGTGTTGAGCCAAAAAACAAAAATTTGATAAAAATTCACAAACCTGTAGAAAAAGGCTCGTTTCTTCACTTTGATTATTTTGACGAGAGCCTGATTCCACCACGCTGCCTCACATATAGTGAATGGAAGATTGGAGGTGCTACTAGAGAGTTACATAAGTGTCACGGCGCAGTGGAATTAGGTGTTCATCAATTTTTGGGCAAATGGAATTATTGGTATAATCTTAAAAAGCTTATTTATCTGTCTTTCTTTCGGTGAAACCGGTGAAAAAAAATACTCGTCTGTCTTGAATAGAAGTCGAGATATTTAATTCGCAATTGAAGGAGGTCATGGTGGTAGTTTGTTTTCTCAAGTAAAGTCTGAGAGAAAATGGCCGCCAAAGTTTCGAAAGTTTCGTAACTTCTTTAGCTTGAGAGTCCTTGGGAAACTGAAAATTAACATATTTTGTGCCATTAATCAATGTTTTTCAGTTAAATACACGTGGAAACTTATTTCTATACACAAGCTGTTGAGTCAAAAAACAAAAATTCAACAAAAATTGCCTAACTGGAGGGAAAATGCCTCTTTCTTCAATTTCATTATTTTGACGAGCGCCTGATTTCCCCATGATGCCTCACCCAACGAAAAGGAGGATCTCGAAGAATAAAGACAAAAGATTAATGTTCAACACAGAACAAAAGTAGCAAATGAAACAAGAGCACATACGGATACCATACACTTACTGTTGAGATGCCTTCTTTGCTTTCTTAAATGCCGACCCCTCACCCTTAAGTGTTAAAGTAAATAGAAATCGTTTTTTGTGCGTAACGTTATATATACTGACACGAATGTGGCTTCACTAAGAATGGAGACCTCTTCCTGTACACACTATGCTGAGTAATTCAGTTACCATTTCTTTTTTGAAAATTTTATCATTTTTTCTTTCATTTTATTACTATTATTTTAAAACGTTTTTTTTTTCGTTTTGTTATTATTCTTTTAAAAATCAAATTGTAAAACTCAACAACACAAACAGCGTTGGACGAGGTTTTTAAAAAAATGCTTTACTGTCTGGTTTATAGTAGT